TGTTCTGAGAAAAGAATATCAACAATTCTTTAACTGGATAGAAAACTAGAGAGTGTAAAACATAACAGCCAGTTTGAAACCTTCCAACATCATCATGCACCTGCCAAAACCAGTCAGAACTGGTTTTCTTCCTTTTTTTTAATCAACATTCTCTGTAGTTAGCAGGTTAGTACCAGTCCTCCTTTGATTGACCAACTCAACATCCAACCAGCTGGCAGCCTTGGGCATGGCAATACATCTTGTCAAATTTTCCACAGTGTTCCTTAGATTAGTGATTATGTTGCATGATCATCCAGGCCAGTCACCAAAAGCAAATAAATGTTTTTTTTTCTTTTCTAAAACATGCAGCTGTTCAAAGTTAGTTTCAACTAACCCTAACTTCAATTCACAGTTCCACCAAAGAAATTGAGAAAAAATAAGAGAAATATAGTGGGGATCTCTACACTCATCAATAGCTTGGACACTGCGGATTCTAAGCATGATTCTTGAAATCCTAGCCATAGCCTATCAGAGCCTCACTTACATGCAGTAAAGTGCTCTCCAGCTCAATGCTTGCAGGCTTGGACGTGAGAGGGAAGAAGGTGAAAAGACACACGGAAGATGAGCTCTGGTCACAGCACTTCCAATTATCTCGCTTCCACTACCACGTCCTCCAACCTCCATTGCCACTCGTCTCTTGCCTCACAGTTGAGCAGTCTCTGGCAGGATACTCATGATAATGAAATGACAGCAATTAGCCAAGAGCAGCTGCAGCTACTAGAACAGGGATGCACTATGATTGTTTCTACTTCTACTAAAGCCACCGGCATTGCACCAAATAGAAATGCTCAGAGATAGAAGAGTAAATATTTGTAAATAGTGTTAGATAGTTAATATTTCTATGACCCAAAAATTAAACTGCCTTCTCCAGCATCCTAGACTGCTGCTCAATCACCTCTAGCATCCCTGTAGTCACTATGCAAGCAGAGAGGATGCAATATTTATCATTTCACCTCCTCCCTTCTCATCATTCCAAGCTTCTAAACACACTTTCCAATTGAAACTGACTTATTGATATTTCATTCAATTTAGTGTATTGCATTCATTAAGGATTAGTTGTTCAGGTGGCTGTTTAGCTGGTTTGTGGTGTGAGAGTTTCACCAACATCATGGGTTCAATTCCTGTACTAGTGTGTGATTACCATGAAAGTCCTATCTTTGCAACCTCACCCCTCACTTGAGGCATGGTGACTGTCAGGTTAAACACATCACGTGATGAGCAAGAAGGACAATGATGACTTTATCTTTTATCATATTCATTGTTCAGAGTATGAGCTTCCCTACATTGGGAGACCAAATGTAGCCTGGGTGACTGCCATGTGAGAGTCTTAAGTTTGGTTCACAAGCATGAACTTGAACCTATAGTTGCTCATGATTTTCACTCTCTATATTCCTTCTATGTTGACCTTTCTGTCTGTTTCATGCTTTCTAGTAAAGCTGAACTCAAGCTCATGTAACAGCACCTCATTTTTTGACTTGGCATTCTCCAGACTCCTGGACTCAACATCGAGTTCAAAAACTTTAAATCATAAATTTAGATCAGGCTCCATCCTGTTCAATGACGTTGTCTCTCCTTTTTTGTTTGTTTTTGCTGGATTGGTCTTGTTTCTTCCTTTGTCCTTTCATGCTACATTCAGGTGGTTATTATGGAACCATTCACATGTCATTTGGAATCAACCTTTGTCTCTTTGCCATAGTCTCTTTAGCAGTTGCACCTTTTCTTTTTGATACTTAATCTCCACTGCCCGCCAGCTTATCACAGATCTCCCCTCTTGTGCTCCCCACCAGTTCCTTTCCTCTTTCTAATGGCTTTAAGACACGGACATTTGTATTACTTTCAGTTGAAAGGTCATCAGCATAAAGCAACAAGTCTGTTTCTTTTCTTAGAGGCTGCCCAACTTGCCAGGATTTTCCAGCATATTTTGTTTTTTTTTCTCAGATTTCCAGCATTTGTTGTATTTTGTGGTTGTGTTAAACTGAAACTTTTCTGTTTTTGGTTCTTGCCCATTTTTGGTTGTAGTCTGGAACATGACTTTTTCATTTGTAATGAATGGTAAGACAAGAATTGACAGCAAGTAATGAGTAGCTGAGAAAGAGAAAGTTGTATGTTTGCATTAATTGCTTTATGTTGGGAGAAGTTGAGGGACAGGTGATGTGGTTATTGGTTGAGACTGTCAGATCAGTGCAGTGGTGAAATCCAAAGGAACCTCACAATAATGAGGGCATCCCATGCATTTGGGGTAGCAATATTGCTAACCTTGGCAACATCATATTCTGCCTCCTCCTGCTCTAGCAATCATCTGAAGAAGCTCTGTGTCATGTTTATCCCTCTGATCTAAACCTCACTGTTGGAAAATGCTGTGCAGAGTGCAGTACATTCTGGAAACCTTCATTGCTGCAAACTGAATGGTGCTTCCAGTTCTGCCTGGGCACTTAAATTGCATCTTCTGCATGTTGATGGCTTGTTTAATGATGCATCTATCGTTCTGACATTCATTCACTCCTGGGCTTCATTCATTAGGTTGTTCATGGATGCTATTTCCATTTTTTTAAATGGGTACCCCTTGTCTCCAAACAGCCAATCATTCTGTGCAGTGAGATTGAGGAGGGTGGACTGCTGCAAGACAAAAGAATTGTAGCAGCTAAACAGCCACCATTGGTAAAGTTGGCATTATTGCCATTCCACCATGCAAAACAAGCCATTGTGCGTTAATGTGCTTGTATGATTGCATGTTCCTGCAAATGCTACTGGCAGAGCACAGGAAGAAGCCTGGGGCGAATAATTTGAGGGTGATTATGACTTTGACAATCACTGGTGAAGCCTGGCCACCACGTTGGCAAAAGCTCTCATTCTGGCCATGACTCTGTAATGGCTGCCAGATCGTATTATTTTTCTTGACTTGTACTTCTAGTTCATCTGTTGCATTTTAAATCCTTCATGCATTCACATAGAGTCTTTAAATGTATTTGTTAAATAACTTCTGTAACCTGTAGCCCTATATGTTAGTTTACCCTTAGATTTTTCTATCTTTCCCAGTTATGATCTGTTTATTGTTTCCCATATTAATAATTTTGATTCCTTGCCCCCATTATTTAGATTAAAATACTCCCTATGCTTCTAGTTAAGCAGTCAGCAAGAAAATCAGCCTCAGCACAATTCAGGTGAAGTCCATCCTATCAATACTGATCCAATTTTCCCCATTACTGATATGTGGTATAATGGACAGTGAAGACGGTTATCTAAGAATACAAAGAGATCTTGATCAATTAGGTCAATGGGCTGAGGTGTGGCAGATGGAGTTTAAATTGGAAAATGTGAAGTATTGCAATCTGGTAAAACAAACAAGGGTAGGATTTATTCAAGTAAAAGTAGGGCCTTGTATTGTAAAACAGAGAGACCTAGAGATTCAGGTACATAATTCTTTGAAGTTTGCGCCATATGTAGACAGGGTGGTTAAAAAGGCATTTAGCACTCTTGCCTTCATTGCTCAGACCTTTGAGTATAGGAGTTGGGATATCATGGTGAGGTTGTGCAGGATGTTGGTGACACCTCTTCTGGAGTACTATGTGCAGTTCTGGTCACCTTGTTATTGGAAGGACACTATTAAGCTAGAGAGGGTTTAGAGAAGATTTGTCAAGGTGTTGCAGGGAATGGAAGGTTTGTGTTATAAGGAGAAACTGGATAGGCTGGAAGTTTTTTCTCTGGAGCGTAGAAGGTTTAGAGTTGAACTTACAGAGATTTATAAATCACAAGGGGCATAGATAAGGTGAATAGCAGGTGTCTTTTCCCTAGAGTGGGGGATTTCAAGACTAGGGTACATTTTTTAAGGAGGAGAAAGATTTTAAAAAGACATGAAAGGCATTTTTTTTTATACAGGGAGTGGTTAGTTTATGGAATGAACATCCAGAGGAAGTGGTGGATATGGGTATAGTTACAACATTTAAAAGACATTTGGATAAGTACATAAATAAGAAATGTTTGGAGGGATATGGGCCAAGCACAGGACGTGGGACTAGTTTAGTTTGGGATTATGGTTGGCATAGACTGGTTGGACTGAAGATTCTGTTTCTGTGTTGTATGACTCTGTGACTCTATATTCCATGAACCAGAACCCAATTCTCCCAACTGGTCTTTGAGCCACACTTTCAGTTTTCTAATTTGATTTGCCCTATGCTAATTTGCATATGGTTCAACTAATAAGAGATTGAGTTTCTGCACCGTAATTTGCTGCCTATTTCTTCGTACTGACTGTGCAGAACTTCCTTCTTTGTCCCACTAATATCATTGGTTCCTACTGGATACTCCCCCTTCCACTGCAAGTTCTTCTACAGCCCTGTGCAGATGCCCCAAACCCTAGCACCTGGCAGGCAACACAGACATCTGGACCCATTTGCTGTGCAGAATGGTATAATTTGCCATTATTACACTGTCCCTTAATACTACTACATACCTTGTTGTTCCTTCCACTTGAACGGTTTCCCATAGCACAAACTATGGTCAGTTTGCTAACCCATCCTGCAGTCAAACAAATTGGAAGAATCTCAGATTTGTTACACTATTGCAAAGGCTGAAGCCCCCACTAATGAACTCCAGAAAAATCCAAATAACTTTCTCCCTCCCTGATGCATTGCATAGCTTATGACTTAGCGTCAGGTTATAAATTCTGATCTGAAGCTGATTTTCAAACTTCCATCATGGCCTGGTAGTTGATTTTTCCCTATGAAACTAATGGGAGTTTAACATGTTAATCTCTATTGAATAGAACTATTAATATAATTTTGTCCTGTAATGGGCCTCATCTGTGTATTTGATAAGTTTACACATTCGGAAAGGAATCCAATGGTGGCCATAAGTGAATGTTCAACTGCATCAAAATAGATATAACAATCACTCGGGGTGAATGGAAAATGCTGTATATTATGTTATATGCTTCCTAACATTTGCTCTTCTTGTTCCCACAGATGGGTGGCATGGAATCAGTAATTACAGGACTAATTGATGAATTCAAACTCCTGCGTAACCACAGAGAGATCTTTACACTGTTCATCATTACAATTACCTTTCTGGTGTCTCTCTTCTGTGTAACTAATGTAGGTCACTTTAACAAGAGTCATTTTCTAAATAAGAGTTTGTTAGAGTCTTTTGATGGAAAACAAACAGCCTATTGCTTAGGAAAAATGACTCTGAAAATATTAGAAGAAAAGGGCAGATTTATTATAGCCATAACCTTTATATGATGACAGTAATCAGTTTCATTCTTGGCTCGATGTTGGAATTTCTTTTAGTCTTAAGCAATATTGCTCATTCCATTAAATGTTTTGCAATCACCACTCTTGGAATGTTTTTTTGTTTCTAGGGTGGCATCTATGTGTTTACTTTACTTGACAAGTTCTCAGCAGAGACATCCATACTGTTTGGAGTACTTATAGAAACCATTGGAGTCTCCTGGTTTTATGGTAAGTTAATATTGACTTGAACAATCAGGTTTTTCGTTAACATGCACAGCTGAAAGTTTTGTGACTGAGTATAATTTTTTGATAATTTAAATGTTACAAATATTAGGCAGTTATGATTTTTATTATAGCTATCTGTCATTCTTCATTAAATAAGAGTCTGACAATACAGTGCTGGGTTAAAGATCAAATGACGGTCAAGATAATGGTAGAGCAAGTCACATACAAAGCTCTGCATAAAACCCTTCAAACTCAGCAAAATTCCCCTTCATTTGTAGATTTTGTGAAAAAATTTGGACAGATTGTGAAACTACTTTAGGGACTGCCCAAACGGGTGCCCCTACTGGCCTTTTCTTATCAGATGCCTTTCCTGTAGCAACTCACCACACAGTGGATAGCACCAAAAGACCGGCATCCCACAAACCTGTACCATCTTCAAAAGGCCGCTGTGAACCCAAACAAGCAATGGCATTCTGAAGCTGCCATGCTCGCTCAAGAACAGATTGTGCAGTTGTCAGAAAGGGGGAGAATGGCACCATGATTCTTTGTTAGGGTCTGAAAGAAACTGATCAAGGGGCTGGCACAAAGGTGGCCATCCTCCTTCTGGAAGACTAGCAGAGGAAGCTGGAAGTCTGATCTGAGCTTGTCACATGGGTCCTTGCCATGGGTCCAAGGTGCAGAGGAGCATCCGGCAATGCCGTTAATAGGTCAGTGACCTTCTCCACTGTGCCAGGGTAAGTGCCACACTCTTCTCTGTATTACTTGGCATTCACCTTGTGTCTGCTACCACCAAGGCTTGTGTTCACCAACTCTCACTATTGTCTGCAACACTTTCCTTCATTCACTCACACCCACCCCAACCACCCACAACCACTATCACAGGATGGCCTCTGCATTGTCTTTCACTGTCTCAGAACACCTCACCACCTTTTAACCACCTGCACCAGCCATCAACATTCATTGCACTCAATCCCTCCCTTTTTCTCATTCTAGAAGAAAAAAGCCCATAACAGGGCAAAGTAGGAGGGGTGCCTGATATTAGGCTGCTACCCCTATGTGGAAAGTATGCTGACTTGAGAAGACCGGGACCAGTGCTGTAGGGATGCCAAGACACCCATGTTCTATCAGCCAGCTTAAAAAAAAAGTCACCATAGTCTTACCAGACCATAAGAGAGAGATGATTGGTGGTGGTTCAACCTGACGGTCACCATGCCTCAGGCAAGGAGAGAAATTGAGAAGGAAAGTTTCATGTTAACCTCAGCTGGTACAGGAATTGAACCTTTGCTCTTGGCATCACTCTGTATTACAAACTAGCCATCCAGCCAACTGAGCTTCATTCCACTGCAACTCATACACTAGCAACACTAGGTCTCATTCATTGCACACCACTTCTAACCATTTGCTGTGGCAACTCTGTCATATTTTCCAGATCATACATCTCCATTGCCACTGTAGAGAAATGTCCAGCTCCCTCAGAAGCCAACTTCTTGATCACTAAGGACCAGAGTTCAAAGACCTCAGAGGAAGCATCAGCAAGTCTTCCTCCTGCACCCCCTAGATACTGACACCTTGGTGGGAACATTAGGCTTTGAGAGTGTAGGAGCTCAATCTGGTGAGCACCTTACTGTAGTAGCCACTGGCACTCAGAGGACTGCTTGATAGCCAGGCACCTGATCAGCACAAGGCAGCAGAAGACCCTGTAGTGTCCATAATCAGGGACTTCGCTCACATGTGCAAGGAGGAACAAGAACGATAGATGGATATGTAGAATGCAATTGCCCAGAAGCTACAGCAGTGTAGCGAATCTGTCTCCATGGACAGATTGACAGCTGCCATTAAGTACCAGGCCCAGCACGCTCAGGATGCTAGAGAGACACACACACTTGCACCAATCGCCACTGCCATTGGACCTCGGGGACCAAAGGCATGACAACAGTGGTCGGGGAACCGGACACACACTGCAGCTGCCCCTTTCTAACAAAGACATTGGCTGATGCAAGGAGGCACGCAGCCAGAGAAGGAAGCAACACAGCACCTCCCTCAGAAGTCACCAATTAGGACTCTCAAGAAGTGGAGTCCTCCACCTCCGGCCTCCTTTACCCCTCTGATCCTTGGAAGTTGAAGCCAAGGACAGTCAGTCAATTTCTGAAGAAGACCCTTGACATATTTGGACCATCCAGACACAAACATCCCCGGGGTCACCCAACTAAAACTCCAGGGCCAACAAGCTGTACTGCTGACCAGGCTCCCTCCTGCCCAGTTTTCGAACTAGGGGTACGCTGAGAAGTAGTGGGAGGAAAAGAATTGAGAAGACTTATTGAGAGATTTTTTGGCATAGGAAATAATGCATTGATAACTGATTTTGTACTTATATATAAATGTCATTGATTTGACCTCAGATTTGGTTATTAGTCTCTCTGATGGCATTGTTGCAACATCATGCATTACTTCGTAGCCACAGATGAAGTTCCATGGAGGTTAGTGCTGAGAACATGCTGCATCATCTGGAAGCAAAAGAATCAAAATGTATACATGGCATTGGGTCATGCTGAAACCTTTGGTTCTACTCGTACGACATTCCTTTCGTTTTGCAGCCTCTGTATCCAAAAGTGTAGCTGTCAGTGTATTTCTAAACAATGTTTCTGGCAGGGAGGTCTGCCACACAGAGAGGGGAGGGGGGCAATACATTAGCATGGCCAGAGCTAGAGACACTGCAGCTCTGTCTTCTGTACAGTGCATGGTCTGTGTGCAATGTTCTTTCCCTTTAAAAGCCACAATATCAGTGAATTCCCTCCCTCACAGATTGAGTCACCTACCCCACCCACTCAGAATGTTCTCACAGCCATTTTTTCCCCACTATGTACTTTCAGTTTCTAGCACAATGTAAGATGACAGTGAACGCTCCTTGACCATGTTGATGTTCCCCTGAGCATCCAAATTCCCCTCCTGACGGCCCTTCCCATAAATCACCTTTGTGAATCACCTTGTGAAGGTGCAAATCACATTTGCACCTTCACAAGGCCCCATCCAAGCCATCTACGTGTGCCTGTACTGCCTACCTTTCCCACACAGCTCCAGGCATACAAAGTAACCATTCCAGGTGTGTTCTTTAACCCCTTGAAGCCAGTGTGCTCCTGACCAACAATGAACCTCCGTACCACATGACTTTCTTCTCCCTATGCTTTACTATATCCCTCCTTGCAGATACCATTGCCTCCTTTTCAAAATCATTGCCCCCCACAACTCTTCCTCCAAGGTTCTGCTCCCAGTCCCAAAGACTAACTTGCTGAATCTCATTCCCTTGACACTCCCAACTAAACACTTTCCCCTAATTTCTAAGGATAGAGCTAAAGACTAACTGTGGTTCACCCTTTTGAATGACTCAAATAGATAAAGCCAGTTAAGAATTGCCCAGGTCGCTGACTGCTGGCTGTACATCTCCCAGGCTATATGAGGCTTACATATCCAGCTCACCCCAAACGCCGTACTGTCTGCTACAAAGCCACAGGACTGACTGTGATCCACTCCCTGGACAGCAGAGGTACACACCCCTGACCAAGATCACCTTGAATGAATGACTGCCTGTGGATAATCCCCTGGACTGCTTTGGGAAGTTGTCCTTAATTTACTGTGCCAAGACCCTCTGACTGACGGGTTCCTCCACGGACAGTGTGTCACTCTCTTAAGACTTAGACATTTAGTTGAAGCACATGCAGAGTATTTGCCACTTAGACTTCTGGCACATGGTGCAGGTGTTAGCCCGATGTAGTATGCTGCCGTTCACCATGTGTACATCCCTTAGACTAAGAACTGCTGACCAGCAAAGCAAGCTGCATGGTTGTGTGATTGCCCTAGTTGGCATGGCATGGCAAGGCAGGGATGATGCAAACACTGACAGATTGGCACTAAGAGGTCAGGCAGCAGCCCTGAGATGCAGTCTGGTCCAATCCTTGAGCTGGGTGCCTATGCACAAGTGTCTCTGCTACAGCCTTTCAGTGCTAATTGCTGGTGTCCTTACAATGTTTGACTGTAGTACTAGAGAGCAATGCCATTGTATTGGAAAGGTACCAATGGTCATGAGAGTTTGTCAAATGCCAGATATCAATATCAATGAACAAGGGGTGTGTGCAGCTGGTTGCCGTGGATCATTCCTTGGGCTGCAGTTTTATTGAAAGTAACAAGGAGGTCATGCAAAGCAAGCAGCAGACTAAATCCAACTGGTGTGCACTCAGGTTTGCATGTCGTGTTTTCTTGACGTCTAGCTTATTTGACGAGTTTGGTAAGATGGGATGCTGAGTATTAATGAGGTAAATTGCAGCATTGACAAGGTGTTTAACAAGCAATAATCCCCCTTGATGGCCAATTCATCACTGCCAAGCGAGAAACTTGCCACTGACCATGAAAAGCATAAAAGATGGCATAACATGCCCCTGATGTTGATCCCACAGGGAACCAATTCTGCCACATGTCTTGCCACGTTGCTTAGACCCCTATAAGATACGTTCTCTGTTTCTCTTTCTATACATATACAAGCTGCAGCTATTTATTTTTTATTGCTTGCTAGTTTACTTTCATTATCAATTTTGTCCCTCTCTGTTAGCTTTTCAGTTGTCCTCTGCTAGTTCTTAAAAAGAATCCAAATCCTCTGACCTACCACTAGTTTTCACTGCTTTATTGTACCTTGTTAAGTGATTGGATACTCTCCCTGACCACCTTTCTTAGCCATAGGTGGGATCATGCTTTACATTAAGTCCTTCTTTTTGACAGTAATATTTTTTTCCAGAGCATTATGAAATATATGTTTAAATATCTTTCATTGTTCATCCATTGATCTTTCCCTCAGTCTATTTTTCCAGCCCACTTCACTCACCTCTTGCTTCATGTCTCTGTTATTGTCCTTATTTAAGTCAAGGATATAAATTCAAAACGTTGTTCTCTCCATTTCAAATAAGAAACATTTGGTGACATACCTGAAAATCTTCTAATTAAACAAATCTTTCCATCATAGATTGATTGTATTTCTTTTCTAGGAGTTGATCGTTTCAGCGATGATATTGAGAAAATGATAGGCAAAAGACCTGGCTTATACTGGAGATTGTGCTGGAAAATTGTCAGTCCCTGTTTCCTTCTGGTGAGTCAAAAGATGTGTATTTTTCAAAAATAACCTCAGAATGTGGACAATGCTGACATATTACCTATGTTAGTTGCTCAGCGACTTTGCTGGTGCAACTTTATGGCTTCCTACATCATATCAAAGGGTGGTTAAGGTTCAGCCATTTTGGTGTTAAACTGAAGTTAAATATCGGTGAGGTTGGGTAATAACAGAGAATTTCCTTTAGAACATAGAACAGTACAGGGCCTTCAGCCCCGAATGTTGTGCCAATCTACCATCCTACTCTAAGATCAAAACTAACCTGCATACGCTTCATTTTACTATTATCCATGTGCCTATCCAAGAGTTGCTTAAATGTTCCTAATGTATCTGACTTCTACCACCACTGGCAGTGCATTCCATGCACCCACCACTCTCTGTATAAAGAACCTACCTCTGACATCTCCCCTATACCTTCCTCCAATCACCTTAAAGTTACGCCCCCTCATGATAGTCATTTCCACCCTGGGAAAATGTCTCTGGCTATCCACTCAATCAATGCCTCTCATCATCTTGTACACCTCTATCAAGTCACCTCTCATCCTTCTTCGTTCCAATGAGAAAAGCCCTAACTCTGTCAACCTTTCCTCATAAGACCTGCCCTCCAGCCCAGGCAGCATGCTGGTAAATCTCCTCTGCACCCTCTCTAAAGCTTCCATATCCTTCCTATAATGAGGCAACCAGAACTGAACACAATATTGCAAGTGTGGTCTCACCAGTGTTTTATAGAGCTGCAGCATAACCTCGCAGCTCTTAAACGCAATTCCCCTGCCAATGAAAGGCAACACACCATTGCCTTCTTTACAACCCTATCAACTTGGGTGACAACTTTGAGGGATCTATGGACGTGGACCCCCAGAACCCTCTGTTCCTCCATACTGCCAAGAATCCTGCTATTAACCCTGTATTCTACATTCAAATTTGACCTTCCAAAATTAATCATTTCACACTTTTCCAAGTTGAATTCCATCTGCCACTCCTTTGCCCAGCTCAGCATCTTGCCAATGTCCCATTGCAAACTATAACAGCCCTCCACAGTATCCACAACTCCACCAACCTTCGTGTCATCGGCAAACTTGCCTACCCACCCTTCCAATCCTCATCCAAGACATTTATAAAGGTTACAAAGAGCAGAGTTCCCAGAACAGATCCCTGCGGAACACCACTGGTCACCGAACACCAGGCTGAATACTTTCCATTTACTACCACCCTCTGTCTTCTTTTGGACAGCCAATTCTGTATCTTGACAGCCAATTTTCCCTCAATCCCATGCCTCCTTAGTTTCTCAATGAGCCTACCATGGGGAACCCTATCAAATGCCTTGCTAAAATCCATATACACCACATCCACTGCTCTGCCTTCAACAATGTATTTTGTCACATCCTCAAATAATTCAGTAAGGCTTGTGAGGCACGACCTGCCCCTCACAAAGCAATGCTGACTATTTCTAATCAAACTATGCTTTTCCAAATAATCATAAATACTATCTCTCAGAATCCTCTCCAATAATTTTCCCACCACTGAAGTAAGACTGACTGGTCTGTAATGATCTCTATTCCCTTTCTTGAACAAGGGAATAACATTTGCCACCCTCCAATCATCTGGTACTTCTCCAGTGGACAGTGAGGATGCAAAGATCATTGCCAAAGGTGCAGCAATCTCTTCCCTCGCTTCCCGTAGCAACCTTAAGTATACCTGTCCAGCCCAGAGGATTTATCTATCCTCATGTTCTTCAAAATTTCTAGCACATCCTCCTTCCTAACATCAACCTGTTTGAGCATATCAGCCTGTTTCACGCTGTCCTCACAAATGTCAAGGTCCCTCTCACTGATGAATACTGAAGCAAAGTATTCATGAAGTACCTCCCCTACCTCCTCCCACTCCGCGCACAAGTTCCCTCCACTCACTCTGGCTGTCCTCTTGTTCCTCACATACGTATAGAAGATACGATGTTGTAGCATCTATGGAGACTTGGACATCACAGTGGCAGGAATGGTTGTTGGATGTTCCAGGGCTTAGATGTTTCAAAAGGGAGGGAGGTAAAAGAGGGAGGGGAGTGGCATTGCTAATCAAGAATGGTGTCACAGCTGCAGAAAGGGAGGTCGTCGAGGAGGGTTTCTCCACTGAGTCAGTATGGGTGGAAGTCAGAAACAGGAAAGGAGCAGTCACTTTATTGGGAGTTTTCCATAGACCCCCCAGTAGCAACAGAGACACTGAAGAACAGATTGGGAGGCAGATTTTGGAAAGGTGCAGAAGTAATAGGGTTGTTGTCATGGGTGACTTCAACTTGCTTAATATCGACTGGAACCTCCTTAGTGCAAATGATTTGGATGGAGCAGTTTTTGTCAGGTGTGTCCAGGAAGGATTTCTGACTCAGTATGTTGATAGGCTGACTAGAGGGGAGGCCCTATTGGATTTTGTGCTTGGCAACGAACCATGCCAGGTGTCAGATCTCTTGGTGGGAGAGGATTTTGGTGATAGTGATCACAACTCCCTGACCTTTACTATTGTCATGGAGAGGGATAGGAGTAGACGGTATGAGAAAGTATTTATTTGGGGGAGGGGAATTACAATGCTATTAGGATGGTAAAGGATGGTAAGGTGAAGGAACCTTGGATGACAAGACATGTGGAACATCTAGTCAAGAGGAAGAAGGAAGCTTACTTAAGGTTGAGGAAGCAAGGATCAGACAGGGCTCTAGAGGGTTACAAGGTAGCCAGGAAGGAACTGAAGAATGGACTCAGGAGTGCTATAAGGGGGCATGATAAAGCCTTGGTGGGTAGGATTAAGGAAAACCCCAAGGTGTTCTACACTTATGTGAGAAACAGGTGGATGGCCAGAGTGAGGGTCTGGTCAATCAGGGATAGTGGAGGTAGTTGTTAAACAACACGAATGAATCAATTGATTTTCACAGCGATTATCAAACTAACTCAGTCTGACTGTTTTGTGGTCACTAATACTATTAGTATAATTTATTTACAGATGTTTTCTTTTAAACTGCCACAGTTAGATTTAAATTAATTTTTTCTGAATTATTAGTCCGGTAATCACAACAACACAATACCTTAAGGTATGTAATCATAACACCACAATATTTGTTATATTCAAGCATAATAATGTGAGATTACAAAAGCTGTTGATTGTCAACTCAACTTTGGAATCTGAACCATAGCACGGATGTTACTCACAAACAGTACGACGTCGATGGTTAATAATGGATGTCCTAGTATTGCAATGAGGCCATTTCATCATTGTAGATTAGGGAGATTGAGGTTGGTTGGCTCGCTGAGCTGGTTTGTTGTTCCGCAGACGTTTCGTTACCGTGCTTGGTAACATCCTCTGCAGCCTCTGATGAAGCGTCGGTGTGTTTTCCTGCCTGGTTTTTAAACTCTGGAGTCCATTGCAATGGATTGCCTCACTTCCGGGTTTCCTCCATAGTGGAATGTATACGGGGTCGAGTTCAATGTGTTTATTAATAGCATGCTTCGTGGAGTGCCATGCTTCCAGGAATTCTCATGCTTGTCTCTGCTTAGCCTGTCCCAGGATCTTGGTGTTATCCCAGCCGAAGTCGTGGTTCTCCTTGTCCATGTGGATTGAGATGAGTGAGTATTGGTC